TGAGACAGAGTTTCACTTTATTGCCCAGGCTAGAGTAAGTGCTATGGTGTCAGCCTAGCTCACAGCAACCTCAAACTCCTGGGCTCAAGCGATCCTCCTGCCTCAGCCTTCCAAGTAGCTGGTACTTCAGACATGCGCCACCATGCCCAGCTAATTTTTTCTCTCTATATATGTATTCGTTGGCCAATTAATTTCTTTCTATTTATAGTAGAGACGGGGTCTCGCTCTTGTTCAGGCTGGTTTCGAACTCCTGACCTCCAGCAATCAGCCCGCCTCAGCCTCCCAGAGTGCTAGGATTACAGGTGTAGCCACTACTCGCCGAAAGCCTCATTTATTTGAGATAATAAAATTTGTAACCACGCCAGAGCGCCAGGCGCGCAGGCGGGTGACTCAGGCTCACACCTATAATCCTAGCTCTCTGGGAGCTGAGGCGGGCAGATTGCTTGAGATCAGGAGTTCGAAACCAGCCTGAGCAAGAGCGAGACCCGTCTCTACTATAAATAGAAAGAATTAATTGGCCAACTAATATATATAGAAAAATTAGCGGCATGGTGGTGCATGCCTGTAGTCCCAGCTACTCGGAAGGCTGAGGCAGCAGGATCGCTTGAGCCTAGGAGTTAGAGGTTGTGTGAGCTAGGCTGACACCATCTCTCTAAAAAAAAAAAAAAACAAAGTCAAGCATTCTGGCTCCTGAGGCTGCATTCTTTTTTTGAAACAATTTGAAGTGAAATTCACATAACAAAATTAACCATTTTAAAGTGAACAATTCAGTGTTAGTACATTCACAGTGTTGTACAACCCTAACCTCTATCTAGTTCCAAAACATTTTCATGACTCCAAAGTAAAACCGCTTACTCATTAAACAATTTTCCTGCATTCTCCTCCGTGTACTGTTTTTGATCTTCACAATGGCTCAATTGTACAATTGAGGAAAATGAGGCTCTGAGAAGTTTGGTAATAGGTACATGTGGAACCTTCATTTTCTGATTCCAGAGCCTAAACCTTCGATTAATGCACATCTTTAGGGGGAACCCACATAGCTAGACTGGGCTTTAGAAGAGAGTTAATTTTGTTGGAGCACGAAAATAGAAGCTATAGGTGCATCTTCAACTGCATTGAGGTAAAACTGTAATTAGTTCTATACAGGTGGTTGCCAGAGGCAAAAGTAATCTAAGCCCAAGAGCAGCTAAAAGGCCGGACTTGGAAAGGTCAGCACTGCAGGAAGCTTTGCCAAAGCCTCAAGAAGAAGTCTGTCATGCCTTGGACAGCCTGTGTGAGCGCCAAGCTGGGAGTCAAAAAGAGGCAGAGGAGCCCGAAGCGCGTGGCTTCCTTCCAGGGACCAAGCCCTGCCAGGAAACCCCAGGTGGTTGCTTGCGAGACAAGCTGGAGGAGCAACGGGAGAAAACAGTAGAAAGCAGGCCTAGGCCAACTGTATCCCACTCTGAGTGTCCTCCAGGCCACGGGGACTCCTGACTATTCGTCTTATGCCTCCTGGAAGGACTGTCATCTAATATCCCTCTTCCGTAACATAGGTGTGCTCTCTCTGGGGCTCTCCTTTTCTCTTAGGAGGTCAATGACCCTAGAATCCCTTTCTTTTTAGGGGGTTGGAGGGCACCCTTCTAAGTTGCCCCTCGTAGTAGCCACTTCTTCCTTGGATGAGAGGGTTGGGTGGAACCCTCCTGCTCCGATGATGGAGGGCTTCTTTTACAAGCTCCCCACCCTCTCTGGGCTCTGGGTGGTGACAGAGTTCTAGTTCAACAATGCCACGCCCTCGGTCCAATAGCTTCCCTCGTTCTCTCAGAGGGCAGCTCCATGGAAACCAAAACATCACAACTCTATGAAGTATCGCGAGAAGCGCTGTTGCACTCGCGGCCGAGGAGAGGCGGAGCGAGGGCGGGAAGGCTGAGAAGAAGTGGGAGGAGCCTGGGCGCTTCCTAGGTTCGGGTGGGAAGACAGTTCCTCCAGGCGGCGCCCCCGCGTGACTGCGCTTTACATAATCGCGGCCTCGCGCGTCACAGTGGCGTACTCCAGTTCAGACCGAATCAGTGTCGCCAAAAGCTCCGTGTTCCGCCCCTTCCTGCTTGATCGACGTTGAAGTGAACCAGTGAACAGGCATCTAGCACCAACGCGCCCGCCCCAGCCCGCCCGGGTCCGCCCCGGTCTGCCCGCGCCGGCCCTCCCGCCTGCCGCAGCCCGCAGCCTGCTGCCGCCTGGTTGTGCCTCAGACTGTCAGATAAAGCTGTGGGCCGGCCGGCGGGGCGGTGAGCACGGCCCGGGCCGGACATGGCGGCGCTCTACGCCTGCACCAAATGCCACCAGCGCTTCCCCTTCGAGGCGCTGTCTCAGGGGCAGCAGCTGTGCAAGGTGCGCGGGCTGGGGCGGCGGCCGGGAACTGGGAACGCAGGAGGCGCGGCCCGGAGCTCCCGGTTCTGTGGGGACGCCGGCGGGGTCCACAGGGCAGGGCGTGGCAGGCCCGCCTAGCTGAGGAGCCGCACTCACCCCGCGGGGGGCAGGCAGGGCACGTGGGGGAGTCCCGGGCCGCGTCCAGGCCCCGGCGGCCGGCGTGTCCGGGTGCTTAGCAACCGCGGGGGATTGTTCTTGGACCCCGTCAGGTCGGGGGAGGGGAAAGCGGATCTCCTGCTTGCCCTGACCGTCTACCCCGGGGATCCCTTTGGTCTGCCTTCACTGCTGCCGTAGTCTCCGTGGTTACAGACTGTGGGACCTCCTGTCCCTCCTGGGACTGAACTCCAGAGTTGGGTGCTGCTTGGGAGGAGTGTCTCGAACTCTGGCGCCTCACGGGCAATTTTCAGCCAGTCTCAGTATCAGAGGTGGCAAGGTTTTATTTTTTTAAAAGCCCCACAATCAAGCACACAGATCTTTTCAGTATCCAGTTGGTGGCCTTCGATCCTCACCCTAACCAGCTGCTGATCAGTTTTTTTTTACCCCTGAAGGTCCAACTTCTGTTTTTCTTTTTAGTTGCTTCCTTCCACTTTGCCTATTTAAGTGAATAGATAGAGGTGCTCTGAAGCAACATTTAAAAAGTCACTAAACCGGCTAAAGAGTTATGTTGAGATAGACCCAGATAATCTAGAGTTTGTGTCTCTGATTTGGATAACTCGTAATTGTATGTCCCTGTTGCCTCAGATGTCCATGACTTAACTTTTGCCACTGTTTGTTTACCAGGTCTGAGAGAACGCAAGTGCTGAGTGCCCTTTTTGGTCACAAAAAACCCCGAAACAAAACATATATATATAGTATGTATTTATTTTTAAAGAAGCTTTGTATACATAAAAAAGAATGATTTTAATTCAACACTTTCATGAGTAAGCCAGCTCAAAATCACACAGTAGCAGAAGAACCAGGCCTTAGAATTCAGGGCTTCTGATTCCCCATCTGGGGCTTATTCATGCATGTTTATTTTATAATTTATGACTAGTTTCATATAAATTCTTATTTAACTCCCACATCAACAGCACAGCAATGATGCCGACATTACAGAGGAGAAAAATAAGGCCCGGAAAGTTTAAGTGACTCACTCAAGCATAGTAGCTACGCTAGGAATAGTACTCAGGTCTTCTGCTTCCTACTGAGGGCTGTTTCCATTTGTTACTGGCTTTTAAAATTATATCCTCATTTCATTTCAGGAATGTCGGATTGCACACCCTGTTGTGAAGTGCACCTACTGCAGGACTGAGTACCAGCAGGAGAGGTAGAGTTTCCTTGACCATGAAAGATGTTAATAGGCTTTTCCTCAAAATCTGTAATTGATTGCATTTCATGTATAGACCTGTAATCAATTACATTATACACCGATTCTGTATTATACCCCGAGTCTACAGTTTCTAAATATTTCATCTGTAGTCCGTCTTCAGTTAATTTGTTTGTGGAGTGAGATACACACTGCAGGGTGTATAATAAACATATTGTTCCATTTGATTACTTAAAGTTTTGAAGTTATTTTTCAGACCCTTGATCATTTTATATTGTGGTTATAATCTTTTTGGCACAAGAAACCAATCCCATGGTATGAAATGAAGGTGTCAGCTGGGGAAAGAAAAAAAAAAGAAACCCATCCCACAATGGTAAAACATGAGCCTCACGTTCCAATATGTATATATACATAGCTTGAAGAATTTTTAAGCCCAAGTAGGTACTTTTTGAACCATAACAATCCTGGTAAAGGGTTTGTTAGCCCTAATCCCATTTGAAACTTACTTGCCTTTACACTTTCCTTGTGTGAATCTCATTTTTTAAAGAGTGAAAAACACTTAGGTATGAGTGGCCAAACATCTCTGGGGGACTTTTCCATAGCAGCAAAGTGATTTATTGGTATAGCAAGTTAGACTTTTGTGGAACTTTTATAATTTTAGGTGATACTGCCTTTAGCAGGGTGGGGTCTATTTGCTAGTTTATTTTTTTATTTTTATTTTTTTGAGATGGAGTCTCACTCTGTTGCCCAGACTAGAGTGCTATGGTGTCAGCCTAGCTCACCGCAACCTCAAACTCCCAGGCTCAAGTAATCCTCCTGCCTCATCCTCTCTAGTTCGGGACTACAGGCATGTGCCACCATGCCTGCTAATTTTTTTTTTTTTTTTTTTTGAGACAGTCTCACTTTGTTGCCCAGGCTAGAGTGAGTGCCATGGCATCAGCCTACTCACAGCAACCTCAAACTCCTGGCTCAAGCAATCTCCTGCCTCAGCCCCGGGTAGCTGGGACTACAGCATGGCCACCATGCCGAGCTAATTTTTCTATATATATTAGTTGCCAATTAATTTCTTTCTATTTATAGTAGAGACTGGGTCTCGCTCTTGCTCAGGCTGTTTCGAACTCCTGACTTTAGCTACCCGCCCGCCTTGGCCTCCAGAGTGCTAGATTACAGGCGTGAGCCACCTCGCCCGGCCCGGCTAATTTTTTAATGTATATACTTTTAGTTGTCCAGGTAATTTCTTTCTATTTTTTAGTAAGACAGGTATTGCTTTTGCTCAGCGGTCTTGAACTCCTGAGCTCAAACTATCTTATCTGCCACTAGAATTACATATATATAATATATATTTTTTTTTTAGTTGTCCAGCTAATTATTTTCTATTTTTAGTAGAGATTGAGTCTCAATCATGCTAAGGCTGGTCTTGACTCCTGGCCTTGAGCATCCTCCCGCTGTGCCTCCCAGAGTGTTAAGATTACAGGATTGAGCCACCACGCCTGGCCAGAGTTTCCCTATGTTGCTTAGGCTGATCTCTAACTCCTGGCCTCAAGCAATCCCTCTGTCTCAGCCTCTTGAAGTGCTAAGATTACAGGTGTGAGCCACAGTGCCTAGCTTATTATCTTATTTAATTTTAAAAAAAAAATTGTTTTTTGAAAAAAGTCTTGCTCTGTACCTGGCTAGAGTGCAGTGGCATCATCATAGCTCACTGCAACCTCAAACTCCTGGACTCAGTGATCCTCCTACCTCAGCCTCCTGAGTAGCTGGGACTACAGGTTGTGCCACCACATCCAGCTAATTTTTCTATTTTTAGGAAAGACAGGGTCTCAATATTGCTCAGGATGGTCGTGCACGCCTGACTCAAGTGATTCTCTAGCCTCAGCCCCACAAAGTGCTAGGATTATAGGCATGAGCCACTGCACCAGCCTAATTTAAATATTTTTGACTCTGAAATTTTTCTTTATTTAACTTTATGGTCATATTCATAGGAATTTATGGGAAAATAATCACAAAAGAGGATGACTAGATTTATGTAGTTTATTTTGCCTCAAAGTATTTAAACTGTTCTTACACATCAAACATTTTTATACCTCCCCAAGTGAAGGGTTAGCCTTTATTCGAAGATGTTTTTTCCTAGTACTTATTACTTCAGGCATTTACTTATAATTAAACTGTTGGTTCTTCACAAGGCAAAGGACGTTTTTATGGTCATAGTGTCTTTTTCCCCACCCCTGAGGCTTTCATATGCTTTTACTTGTAAAGGAGAACACAGATGGATTAAGGCAAACATGGATAGAATATCTGAATTTATATCTAAACACATACTTATTCTCATCTCAATTTCTCAAGTATTCACTAGAATTAAGAATAATTATTTTTTATACTAGTCCATTTCAGTTTAACATAATTTGAGGGTCTTCCCCATATGTGATAATTTTACTTAGTGATACTTGAGGATGTTTTAATCAGAAATAACTTACTTGCCATTGTGTTGAATTTTAATTTTTTTTTTTTTGAGACAGGGTCTTCCTGTGTTGCCCAGGCTGTATTTGATATGCTGGGCTCACACAGTCCTCCTGCCTCAGCCTCCTGAGTAGCTGGGACTACAAGCGTGCACTACCATGCCTGGTTTTACTCTCCATTTTAACCAAAGCATCGTTGTTTTTTGTTTTTTTTTTTTTTTTTGAGACAGAGTTTCACTTTATTGCCCAGGCTAGAGTAAGTGCTATGGTGTCAGCCTAGCTCACAGCAACCTCAAACTCCTGGGCTCAAGCGATCCTCCTGCCTCAGCCTTCCAAGTAGCTGGTACTTCAGACATGCGCCACCATGCCCAGCTAATTTTTTCTCTCTATATATGTATTCGTTGGCCAATTAATTTCTTTCTATTTATAGTAGAGACGGGGTCTCGCTCTTGTTCAGGCTGGTTTCGAACTCCTGACCTCCAGCAATCAGCCCGCCTCAGCCTCCCAGAGTGCTAGGATTACAGGCGTGAGCCACTACTCCCGGCCGAAAGCCTCATTTTATTTGAGATAATAAAATTTGTAACCACAGGCCAGGCGCCAGGCGCGGTGACTCAGGCTCACACCTATAATCCTAGCTCTCTGGGAGGCTGAGGCGGGCAGATTGCTTGAGATCAGGAGTTCGAAACCAGCCTGAGCAAGAGCGAGACCCCGTCTCTACTATAAATAGAAAGAAATTAATTGCCAACTAATATATATGAAAAAATTAGCTGGGCATGGTGGTGCATGCCTGTAGTCCCAGCTACTCGGGAGGCTGAGGCAGCAGGATCGCTTGAGCCTAGGAGTTAGAGGTTGTTGTGAGCTAGGCTGACACCACGGCACTCACTCTAGCCTGGGCGACAAAGTGAGACTCTGTTCAAAAAAAAAAAAAAAAATTTATAACCACATAATGATTAAGAGTTATTGGCCAGATACTCAAACTTCTGTTAACCAGGTGTTTGGACCATATTTCACCTTGTCCCTTAGCAATGAGCAAATAAATGTCTTTGGCTTAAAGAAGAATCATTTTTTAGATGTTCTAACAAAAGCTTTGTGTCTCTTCCTTAACAGTAAAACCAATACAATATGCAAGAAATGTGCTCAGAATGTGCAGTTGTATGGAACGGTAAGTAGGATTTCTCTGAACCTAAAAGTGTACTTGGGTCTCTTGGAACCTTACCTTCTGTGGACTGTTAATGTCAATAAAATATTTTTGTTAGAATGAATAGTTATATGTAATATATCTAATACTGTACTTCAGCTTTCAAATTTAGCTAATACTTACTGTTAAGGAGTTCTCTGTTTATAGTCACTGTGCCAGGATTAAGATTATAATTTTCCTTGAGAGGTCTTTAGTGACCGATACGGAATGAGAAGGGGAAAGATGAATTAGATGAATTCTGTGATTTGACCTCTTGGTTTGGTAACAGTTGAGTATTCATTTTGATGCATGATTTTTTTTTCTCTTAGTTTTAGGATTCAGGATACTATATCCCTGAAGGTGTTCTCCCAGCATGTTTATACACTGATAATAGCAAAGACACCTTTTCAGAAATTTGGAAGCATTCGCTAGTTTCCTCACAGAGCTGGTTCTGTTGGATTTCTCATAGAAATTTCAGCATACACTCTAATGGTTTTTTTGTTATTTGTTCATTTATTTATTTTAAAATCAATAGTCCTTTGTAGAAAAATGTTTTACATAGTGTTAAGAATTGGGCTTCAATTTGATCAATATAAAAGCAAATTTAAGAAGTTGGGAATACATTTTTGCCATGATTAATGGACTAGGATTATTGGTTTTAAAAAGACATACAGTATTTTATGATAATAATACTTGACACTTTTTTTCCTCCCTCTTTTAGCCCAAACCTTGTCAGTATTGCAACATCATTGCAGCATTTATTGGCAATAAATGCCAGCGTTGCACAAATTCAGAGAAGAAGTATGGACCACCCTATTCTTGTGAACAGTGCAAGCAACAGTGTGCATTTGACAGGAAAGATGATAGAAAGAAGGTAAATCTCTGTGTTTTTCATGACTTTTTTTTCCTTTCAGAGAAATTAAGGTGGCCCAATTCTGTTAAAAAGACATATAACAAAGAAAGATTTCCCACTTTCTTTCCTGGTTCTGTTATTAAACTGAAAGAAGACTTTCAGATTTTTTTTTCTTTATTCATCTGATGTGGATCATTATATTCTAACATTTCATGAGAATCTGAATTATAGTGATTACTTCACATAAGTGAAATGGTGATTGGTAGAATTCTATAGAACTCTGTAAAGAAGAGATTGTGACTTAAGCAAGATGGAGTGATATGACCAGTTTTACTGTCTGGCTCTTTGAATGTTTCTGTCTGTTGAAGTTAAAAATCACAAGAAGATGACATTAAAGGAAGGTTCTATGTGGAGGAGTGATGCCTTGGTCATTTTACTCTCCTGCTTAAAATCCTCCAGTGGTTTCTGGTTGTGCTTAGAATAAAATACAAATGCTTTCCATGGCCTGCAAGGCCCATATCCAGCTCTCAGTCTCATTTTCTGTTACATTTCCCACCTCTCACCTTATTCCGGACATCCTGGCCACCTTTTAGGCCATCAGACATATCAGTCTCATTCCCATCTTTGCTCTGGCTGTCCTTTTGCCTGATACACTCTTCTTCGGAGTATCATAACTGGCTCCTCATGTCAGGTCTCAGCTCAGATACTGCCTGCTCACAGAGACCTTCTTTTACTAACTCCCTCAGTAACTCTTTTATCATATCACTCTTGTTTTATTGTCTTCGTAGCATGTGACATCATGAAAAATTGTCTTGTTTATTTGCTTACATGTTTGTCCACTCCCCACTAGAATGTGATCTCTTTGTCCATCTTGTTCTCTGCTATATTTTCAGTGGTCTGGCAATGGTAGGTGTTCAGTAAATATTCATTGAATTAAAGAATGTAGTTCAGAAACTTTTTTGGCAGCCAGAGATGTTTTTGAGAATGGCTGACTCTTGCTAACCAAATTAATTAATTTATAATGGAAAGATATAACTTTCCAGTGAACAGAATACTCCTGCCTGCCAACCAGGGTACCTCTTCCCTAAATCAAGATACTAGAAAAGCTGAGTTAGTAATCAGGAGGTAGCACAAGCTTTGTAGTTCCCCAAACCTGGGTCCCATCCCACTCCTGGGGCTAGCTGAATGATCCTGGGCAAGTTCCTCATCCTCGTCATACATAGATTTCTTCATATTTCCCAATGGGAATAACAGTAGTTACTTTTCAGGGACATGGGGAAATTTAATTGAAATATGTATATAAAACACTCAGTATTGAGCCTGGCACATAATATATTAATAACTCAATAGATGGTACCTATATTATTATTAATTGGAACAGCCAAATTTTATTAAGATGATTATACTAGAATTCATTACATTTCTACTTTATTAGTGACAATCTTGTTTTAAGGGTTTGGATATTTTTAGACATTCACAATCACATGTTCATAAACTTTAAGAGACAAGAGCTAAATTTAGGGATTTAGAGTGGGTAATGTAGGCCCAGAATATGTGGATTGAAATCTTGGTTCTGTCACTTATTAGCTGTGTGACTTTGGACATGTTAATCTGTCAGTGCCTCAATTTCCTCATCTGTAAATGGGAATGATCAGCCCTCAGGGTTGTCACAAAGATCAAGTTATTATGTGTAAAGCCCTTACAGTGGAACATGGTACATGATACCATGGTACATGATAAGTACTCAATCTGTTATCTGTGATTATTTGTTTTTGATAGTTTAATTCTCAGAAGATTCTCTTTTTTATTATTTATTTATTGAGATAGAGTCTCATTCTGTTGCCCAGACTAAAGTGCCATGGCGTCAGCCTAGCACACAGCAACCTCTCCTCCTGGGCTCAAGTGATCCTCCTGCCTCAACCTCTGGAATAGCTGGCACTACAAGCATGCACCGCCATGCCGGGCTAATTCTATTTTTGGTAGAGATGTGATCTCGTTCTTGCTCAGAGCTGGTCTTGAACTCCTGAGCTCAAATGATCCGCCACTTGGCCTCCCAGAGTGCTAGCATTATAGGCCTGAGCCACCTGCCCGCCAGGCCTGTATTTTTAAAGTTTGTTTTTAAAGGAGAACTCCTGGCCTCAAGTGATCTCTCCCACCTTGGCCTCCCAAAGTGCTGGGGGTATAGGCGTGGGCCACAGCTGGCCCAAGAGGAGAACTAGGAAGGTGAGAGGGTAGCAGCCATTGGAAGCTCTGGAGGGCAAAATTCCAGGGAGAGGGATCAGCTATGAAAAAACCCTGAGGCAGAAATGAGCCTGGTACATGGGAAGAACAGAAAGAAGGCAGAGTGAAGAAGGGGAAGGGAAAGGAAAGAAGGTTATAGAGGCAAGTAGGGGCTATAGTTAAGTAAACATAGGCCATGGTACAAAGTTTGGATTTTATGCTAGATATGATGAGAAACCATTGGGTTTGAGGGGGAGGATATGATGAGATTTACGATGAAGAAGCCCTCTGGTGATTATGTGGAAATGGTTTATTGGAAGTAGGATAATCAGTTGGGTTGGGGAGCAAAGATTTTGCTGATAAGATAAACACTTAAGATAAATGATGTTGTAGACTACCCATATTCAAGATGGGGCATGAGATAATTTCAGGAATAAGAAATGAAAGCTATAAAATTCCATAAAGTATCAGCATACTCCCTTCCCAACCTGAATAATTTACCAGCCCTGCCTGCCTAGCACCTGTCCCAGACTTCCTTATAATGGTTTTGCAGTCTGAATGCTGCACAAAGGCATCCCAGTTTCGGAGGGTGGTGGAGGCCACATTATACTTTCCTAGCTTTGTGCACTGCCCCCTGGTACAGAGGAACTTCTGCTCAAAGGAATTGACTTTTTCTAGTTCAAACAGTGCCATAGTTCACTAGGGACTAGGTTCCTGGAAGCTACTCATCCATGGTCTTTCTTTCCATCTGAGAGAAGGTTTTCAGCATACCATTTTGTGAGCCATTTTTAAGGTATTAAAACTGAACTATAATGGGGAATGGGTTTGGGCAGATGTTGGCCAAAGGATTTCAGTTACATAGGAGGAAAAAGTTTAGGAAATCTATTGTACAACAAAATGACTATAGTTAATAACAGTGTATTTTTGAAAATGGCTAAGAGAGTAGATTTTAAGTGTTCTCACCACAAAAAATGAGATGAGGTAATATATTATTAATTAGTTTAATTTAGACATTCCATAGTGTATCCATATTTTTGAAATATGTTTTGTACAGTAAATATATACAAATTTTATCAATTAAAAAATAGCCCTAGAATATAGATTTTTATATTTCATCTCTTCTTCCTACTGAGTTTTCCTTAGTGAGCACCGTGGACATATTTGTATCTTTTGAAATTGTTGTGAGAACTTTGCTCTAGTCTGTGTTTGCTAAGTTGAGGAGAAACAAAAAGCTATTAATATATAAAATTAGCAACTCATATTTATTAAGCAATTCTTTTGTGTCTGGCACTATGCTAAGTCCTTTATCTACATTATGTCACTAAATCCTTTCAGCAGCCCCCTGTGACTTGCTCAAGATCACACAACTCATAAGTGGCAGAGCTAGGACTGAACCCAGAGATTCTAGCTCCTGACGATGACACATTCTCACGCAATGCAGTACATTTCCTGTTCTTTGTCTCCTCATCTTTCAGGTAGATGGGAAATTGCTGTGCTGGCTGTGCACACTTTCATACAAACGGGTCCTTCAGAAGACCAAAGAGCAGAGGAAACACCTGAGCAGTTCTTCTCGTGCTGGCCATCAGGAGAAGGAGCAATACAGTCGCCTGAGTGGTGGTGGCCATTATACCAGGTAACCCCAAGGTGTGAGATAGGACTAGAAGTGCTGGTAGGTCAGATGTAATACTCACACAATCAGTCATGGAACATACTACCTCACATAAATTTTCCTATTTTCTCTCCAGTTACTAGCCTGTAGGAGGAAGCTCATTTGTTATATTTTATCATTCCTGGGCCAGGTGTGGTGGCTCACGCCTGTAATCCTAGCACTCTGGTAGGCCGAGGCAGGTGGATTGCTTGAGGTCAGGAGTTTGAAACCAGCCTAAGCAAGAGTGAGACCCCGTCTCTATTATAAATAGAAAGAAATTAATTGGATAACTAATATATATAGAAAAAAAATTAGCCGGGCATGATGGCGCATGCCTGTAGTCCCAGCTACTTGGGAGGCTGAGGCAGTAGGATTGCTTGAGCCCAGGAATTTGAGGTTGCTGTGAGCTAGGCTGACGCCATGGCACTCACTCTATCCTGGGTAACAAAGCGAGACTCTGTCTCAAAAAAAAAAAAAAATTTATAATTTCTGTATCTAAGGGCAGGAGAGATTTCTGTAACGTGTCAGGATTTCCTGACTTTGTTGTTTTTTTTTTCCTGACTTTGTATTGTGTCTGAAAGGTTTGTGGAACTTACTCTACTTTCACATGTAGTGTTCTCCTCACAGAATGGGTTATCTTCCTAGAAGACTGGACATTTCACTTTCTGACGGGTACAGTTTTAAAATTTATATTTGGCCAGGAGGTTAATAGATGTTCTAGGCTTGTCCTGGTGGGATATAGTCAAGAAAATGTGCTTTCATTGTTTCCAGTTTCCTTTCAGAGTCTCTGTAGTATTGTTAAGAGTGCTGGCTCTGGATGGAATCCTGGCTCTGCCAAGTTCCCTGTGGGCAAGTTTTCTCATCTGTAAAATGAGGAAAGTAATAGTGTTACCTCATGGGGTTGTTGTGAAGATAAATTATATAGCGCATGCATAGTGATTAGCTTTGTAGCTGGCATACAGGAAGTATTCAATACATTTTAGTTATTTTTTTGTTATTATTACTATTATGACTATTTAGCAAACATTATTAAGAAATCTCATGGGCCAGGGACTCTGCCAGGAATGCAGAAATGAATAGAAGAGTCATACTGCTCTCTAAAAATATGCAGTCTGGTAGGGAAGACAGACTTGTAATCAAATCATTTCAATATAATGTGATGGCTACCACAGTGGAAACATGTCAAGATACAGGCATGAGAGGCAGTAGGAATTAACTGCCTTGAGACGTAAGGGAAGCAGGCTTGGAGAAGAGCTGGCATTGGAGTCGGAGTCATCAGCTAAGGAATGGGCAGAAGCATCTAGGCTGAGAGAGTAGCATTTGGGAAGGCATGAGACTGCATGGAACCCTGAAGAGTTGTGAGTTCTTATATTGCTGGAGTTTATGGTTGGGAGCTGGGGAATGGGAGGAAAAGCAGTTCTGCAGACCTGGTAAGGAGTGTGAACTTGATCCTAGGGTTAGTGGGAAGCCACTGAAGATATACAGGTAGGGGAGGGACTAAATCTGCATTAAAAATTAACCCTGGCCAGGACTGGGCACAGTGGCTCGTGCCTGTAATCCCAGCACTTAGGGAGGCTGAGACAAGAGGATCACTTTAGGTCAGAAGCTCAAGACCAGCCTGGGCAACATAGCAAGACTCTGTCTCTACAAAAAAATCTAAAAATTAGCTAGGTGTGATTGTGTCCTCCTGTAGTCCCAACCATGCAGGAGACTGAGGCAGGAGGATCACTTGAGCCCAGGAGTTCATGGTTATAGTGAGCTGAGATTGTGCCACTGCACTCCAGCCTGGGTGACAGAGCAAGACTTTGTCTCTTAAAAAACACACACACACACACAACAAGAACCTCATCTTCTCACTTGATGGAAAAGGAAGATGCTTTGAAGAGAGGATTATGAGAAACTTATATAATCTGATAGTACATGGCAGGAGCTGAGTGAGTAAAGGACAACCCCCAAATTTCTTACTTGGGTGAGCAAGGGGGATCCTTAAGTGAGAGAGAATAAAGGAAGAGGAGAAGAGAAGTTCAGTTTTGTTAAGTTGAATTTGAAGCACCAAGAAGAATTACTTAGAGGAGCTTAGCCTAGAACTCAGGAGAGAGGTCTGGATGTGGGCCATTGGCAACACATAAGAATCACTGGGAGTAGGGATTATTTAAAATGCAGATTTCTTTTTTAATGGACACTTCCAATACCATTAAAAAATGCAGATTCCTGCTGCCCCACAAAGAGGTTAATTCAGTAGGATCTAGGGTAGAGTCTAAGAATCTACATTGTTTTATAAATATCCCAGATGATTCTAATGCAGGTATTCTAGGGAGCATCATTTCCAACCACTATGATAGGTAGTTGTTAAAACCTTGCTCTTGGATTAGAGGCAGAGAACAGAACTCTAGAAGCATTTAATATTTAAGGATAGAGAACTATCCTCTGTGTCAAAAGTCAAAGGATGACTAAGTGAGGAGAAAGTTTCAGGAAGGATGGAGTGGTCAGTGGTATCAAATAGTGAAGAGAGATCATATAGGGAAAGGTCTGAAGAATCCTTTGGACTTTGCAGCTGGACATCCATCAGAGTAAAAGGATTGCATAGCAAGGATAGGCTTCCAGCTTTTGTTTTAGGACCAGTTTTGGTGAACTCATTGAGGTTAAAACTAGTTTTTAGTGTTGTTATGGGACTGAGATACCAGTAGGTTCACAGAGATACAGTGACTAGGAGTACAAATATGTTGACCTGGTTTCTAGTTTCAGCTTTTCTACTAACCAGCTGTATATCTTTTAGTAGATAAGTTAACTTTGATGAGCTGTTTCTGCAAAGTAGAGATAATAATTTATCTATACCTCACTGATGCATGTGAGACAATGTAAAAGTACTTTCTAACTGTAAGACAGATTACACTTCTTATTGAAGTTTTATTGATTCTTTTCTCATGGTTAATAGTAAAACAGGTAATATTTAATTAAGGCCAAATTTCCTGTGGAAACTATATAGCTACCTATGCATCTAGGACCTACAAAATCAACATCGTTGGTAGATTTTAATAAGCAAGAATAATTAGCTCTTGTATAGAAGAGCTGCTGTCTTACATGGTCCATTTGACAGTCTTTCATTGTGATATTTTATTAATCTTTGCTTTCTAATGTGTGTATGTCTATTTTTGCCATTAAAAGCCAGAAAACACTTTCTACATCTTCAATTCAAAATGAAATCCCAAAGAAAAAGTCCAAGTTTGAGTCCATCACAACTAATGGAGACAGGTGAGCCAGTTGGATTATGTGTGCGCATACATTTGAAATGCATACACAGTTCCTGAAACAGGAAGACATTTTAGGGTGTGCCTTGGAGCTAGTCTATGGCTGTCAGTAAACCTTTTGGGGTGCTACACTAGCCACTTCATAGCTTACAAATAAACAATATTGATATTTGTTTATAAATCTAATCTTGTCATTAAAAGATCAGAACTTGTAACTGAATTTAATAGCAGTTGAATTCAAAAAAGTGAAGAGCTGGACGCATTTCTTTGTGGTCTCTGCCCATAGCTTCCTCCAGGCAGGGCAGGAGTTGGTTTCGAGAGGCAGAACAGAGACAAGTTGGGTCAAGACGGTGTTACTAAGTTTGTGAGTGATGATCCATGCTTTCTTAACTTTCAGAAAGCCAGCCCAGTGTAGAGGCTGGATCAGGAGAGAATGAGATGCGTTTAAATTTTTGTTTCATTATTGGCCTGTCTAAATGCATATTTTTATTCCTCCCTTTCCTCTCTTCTTGTCAGCGATGCTTCACCTTACAAGCTGCTTTGTCTTAATATCCAGAGCACCCCATCTGGGTTGGTACAGTGGGCTTCTTCCCAACACTATTGGGGCCAACCATTCATTTCCCCGTTCTTCTAGGCCCAGGCATCCTGAAGTGAGACTATCTGACATACTTTTCCCTAAAATTCTTAGAAGCATTTCCATTCTGAAAACTGCCATTCACAGTTCTTCCTCCCAGCACGTGGTGGATATGGGAGCAGACCAACATACAGGTTTACCTGGACTGAATTTTGTTTATTTAGGGGAATACAAAATATCTATGAAGTTTACTCTTTTCCACTGCTTTTTTCATTAACTTGATTCCAGACTCTACAAGATGTTTATAGCTAGCTTCATTGATTTTAAACTTTAATTCAAGAAGCTCAGTTTAGAGCATAGTTGTTCACGCCTGTAATCCTAGCATTCTGGGAGGCCAAGGCGGGAAGATTGCTTGAGGTTAGGAGTTCGAGAGCAGCCTGAGCAAGAGCGAGACCCTGTCTCTACTAAAAATAGAAAAAATTAGCCAGTCAACTAAAAATAGAAACAAAAAATTAGCCGGGCATGGTGGCTTGTACCTGTAGTCCCAGCTACTCGGGAGACTGAGGCAGGAGGATTGCTTGAGCCCAGGAGTTTGAGGTTGCTGTGAGCTAGACTGATGGCACAGCACTCACTCTAGCCTGGGCAACAAACTGAGACTCTGTCTCACAAGAAAAAAAAAAAAAGAAGAGGAAGCTTAATTTAGATATTTAGATTACATGGGGGAAGGAACCATAAAGACCTTCTCTCTGGTCAGCTTTACTGTTGTCTGAGCAGCCATTCTGGCTGTTGTAAAGAAAGTAGATGTGGCACAAATTGTCCGTTGCCTTAAGGAATGAACTTTTTGAATTGCTTTATAAAGGCCTATGCCAGGATCCTTGGCTTTAGGGTCATCATTTCTGTTTTGTGCTCCTTTATGATCCAGGCTGTGTTGGAATGGTCTGGAAAAAGCTCATTCATATCCTCTAGTTTAACCAACCAATCCTTAAAGTTTATCTTCTTTTAGCTTATTTTGTTCTTGAGCTACTGTCACTATTCTTGCTGTCTGTTGCTATGGATACACCAAGCTAAAAACTCATGTTTTCGGTTCAGATGGTTTTATTGCATCTGGTCACCAGCAGTGACTGTTTTCCTCAAGTAGGATGATCCTTGACTCAGGTACATGATATTTCATGATGTCCTCTGGGAAAGAGATTAAAATATCACTTTTTCCTTAAAATGACATGCTGATTTTTAAATGCAATTTACTCTTATAATTTGAAAATTTAGAAACTCTTTTCTGCTGCCATAAAAATTATTTTCATAAATATACAAATTCTATTTCAATGTTCTTGCATTACCAATCTTAACATTCTGTTCTACTTGTTTGCATTTCTTTTTTTTTTTTTTTTTAGATGTTCATAGCACAAGATAAGTTACATTTTGCTATTGTTTTTACTTTTGTGTTTTTTCTGCTCTGACTTTACTTTGAAAAAAGCATTCTGACAATCTTTTGTTTTTTGGACAGTCCTTTTCAGATGTCATGCAAGCCAAACATTTTTTTGTGCTGCATACCTATTTCAGTTCAATTCTGTAGCAAGTATAATCAGTCTTATTATGAGATATCTATTGTTGTGACTGCCTCACAGTTTTTAATTAATCACATTCACTTTCTGAATCTACTTTTAAAATATTCATATACTTTTAAATTTATGCTCTTATTCTTTTATTTTTATTCCCCATGTCTCTGCATGTTGCTTCCTAATACTTTTCCATTGATCTTTCTGTACTACCACATTATCCTCTTATTTATTTTTGTTTATTAAAAATTTTTTTCTTTTTCTGCTAATCTTCTCTATATTGTTTCAATTTTAGTATATCTGCTGCCGAAGTGAGCACATCTCTTACTTATTTAATATTGAGGCATATTTGATTATTTTTCCTCCTCTTTATCTGTTAGCCTTCTGTATCATATAGACAGAACACATTATCTTAACTTTCACTAGTGGTTTTATAATTGTAAGATGCCTTATTCTTTTTTTCATATTTAGAAGATTCACAGCCTCTGTCTTGATATTTCCTAATTTGTTTGTTGAAATTATAACAAAAACTTTTCAATTTGAGGAAAATATGAGTTAATTTCTAGCTTTCTGTCCTTGAGAAAGTGTACCAGCTACTTTTTAGGAATATTTGTTTATTATTCCATAGACAATAAAAAAGCAGTCTCAACAGTGGGTGACACTGAGGCACACTTTATGGTTTATTGTTTTTAAAGGGCGTTCTTTTCTCTTCCATGTAATTTTATTTTATTCTGCCTCTTAAATGTGCCTGAAAGATCAGACTTACTTGAGAACAGACTCGAGACCAACATATAGGGTCACAGAGAAGCAGGGTTTTGGCTCAATCTGAGAAAATTGTTCTTATATTAAGAGCTTTTGTAAGAGATAATAAGTTTCCTGGAGAAGTAGTGAGTTCCCCGTCATTGGAGGTATCTGGAAAGTGACTGGATTTTCTGCCTTACTAATCTAGCCATCTTTTTTCATTTCCGGCAATTCTTATTGAACCAGGAATTAGAAAGTTAGAGAGGTCAGGCCCTAAGACAGGATAGACTGGACTGGTTTGTCAACAATTTATTGGTATGGGAAGAATCCTCTCAAGAAGCAGAGAGAGCAGAGCATTGGTAGTCTTAGGGATGACAAAAAGTTACTTATACTAGTTCATTACTCCATTTCATTCATTGCTCTAGTTATGGGTTTAAATGGACTGTTAGGTTGAGGGAAGACAGGTCCTTGGTAGGTTTTCAAGCAGATATAAGGGCACTTCCAGATCTGGAATTGGTGGAGACTGTGATAGTCTTTTCAATACTTTTTCCTGCATGCCTTGTTTTATTATTTTGCAGTTACTTTTTGTTATCCAGTAATTTTGCATGTTCATCAGTTATGAAAGCATTGATTCGTTCTTTCTCTGCCATCTTTTCATATGTTTCATGTAGACTGGGGAGGGGGAGGGTTGGAATATTCCTATCAGTGGACGATGGCTTCCGATTCTAGCCATAGACATGTTTGACTTGGTAACTATGAGGAAGTATATACAGTGATAAGGCTTGCTATTTGGAGTTTTCTCCTGTGTAGAGAAATGCTGGTTATTAGGTATGGCTTAAGATAATAGGAAAGACCCAATAGCAGGGGGGAACTACGAATTGTTGCTGTATTGACATAGGCAGTATTCTAATGTATGCTTAGGAAAAACAGGTTTGTTTTACTAAAAGATTGTCCTGAGAAAAGAAAAGAGCTTCCTTTGGGAATTTTCTAGAGAAGGATGGGATTTAACCCTTTTGGTTGTGATTCCTTAACTTGTTTTGTGTCTGAGACACCTGTGACCAGCCATTGAAAGCTATGGATCCTCACCTAAAATCTACCCATTGTATGTGTAAACAAGACTGTACATGTAATTTCCTTATTAAGAGACTCTGCTGAAAGAACATAGAGGGCTCCAGTGCTATTGCTGGGAGAAATCTGTTGAAAACCCAAGTTGTGATGTGACTCTGGAGCTTGCCACCTTTTTTCCTTTCCTAACTAAATGTCACAGAATTCTTAATATTGGAAATGACAGCTGAGCACAGTAGCTCATTCCTGTAATCCCAGTATCTTGGGAGGCCAAGGCGGGAGGATTGCTTGAGGCCAGGAGTTTGAGACCAGCCTAGGCAACAGAGCAAGACAACATCTCTACAGAAAATACAAAAATAAGCTGGACGTGGTGGTGCTTGCCTTAGTCCCAGCTACTCGGGAGGCTAAGGCAAGAGAATCACTTGAGCCCAAGAGTTTGAGCTTGCATTGAACTATGATGATGCCATTGTACTCTAGCCTGGGCAACAGAACAAGACCTTATCACAAACAAACAAACAAACAAACAAACAAAAAGGAAATGACAGTCTGCAGGCTTCTTGATGTTAGGGATGGCAATCTGCAGGCCAGTTGTAGTGTGGGGGAGTTGGCTTCTTTCCCATTAATTTCATCTTTGTTGAAAAGGACTGACTGCTCTGGGCAGGAATGCAACAGCTTCTCAGCAGCTGCACCATATCACAGGGCTTTGGGGCAGAAGACAAAGAGCTGAAAGACAAGCTCTATGTACAAACTCTATGTACAAAGGTGGTAAAAAAAAAAAAAGAAAAATATTTCTTAAAACAATTTAAATAAAATTAAAAAATAAATAAATAAATAAAAGACAAGCTCTATGGGGAGCATTAAAGAAAAAGGCATGAGCTTACAGTTTATAATTTATCTGGAATTTAATTATCCAATCACAAAATTATGACTATTTCACCAGTAAATCACTGGGGATCTCTAATGGACCTGAAGTAATATCCTTGGCTCTTGGGATGTAGCATTTATTTTAGTCCTGAATGTGAAAGAAAATGCTGAGGGAATGTTGCCAGGTTGTGGTTTTGGTTGGTAGAGTTATGTGATGATCACCTCACCTGTGCAGTTCAGCAAATGCTGTCAAGTCCCACATGTATAGAGCAATGTGCTTACTGCTGGGAATTCATATAGTTTCTCCTGCCCTTGAGGACCTTGCAGTCAAGTGGCCTAGGATGTATCAAGTAGAGAAAAGTTTATCCATCCAAGTTATGATTTCCTTCCTCTACCCTCCATTTTTTTATTTAGCTTTTCCCCAGACCTGGCTCTGGACTCACCAGGCACTGACCACTTTGTCATCATTGCCCAGCTGAAGGAAGAAGTGGCTACCCTAAAGAAGATGTTGCATCAAAAGGATCAAATGATTTTAGAGAAAGAGAAAAAGGTATGGTTTAGTTAATGCCTGTCAAACAAAAATGATGCTGGGGTAAAATATATGGCATGGGACATGATGTTCACTCTGTTTAACTGATTTTTGTTAGGTACTTACCATTGACGCTTTCAGAGATCCCATGGCAAGGCTGGGATATCCTGGGGAGAGGCTAGCTGTTTGCCAGCATGACTCCTGAGATGGCGTTACTTTGGTCATTCCACTCCAGTCAAGTGCATTCAGAAAGCTGATTTTTCTCAGCACTTAGAGGGAGCTTCCACTTCTCAGAGAGGACATTTGTTAGCCAAGCTTACAGAGTTGATGAATAAAGCCCTGGTGTCCATATCTTAATTCACAGTGGGGCATTTGACAGCATACTACTCTTAGGATGAGCTGTCTTAGGAGGTTGTAATCAGAAGGTGCTGAGTGAGCATAGAGTTGGGACAAGAGGAGGTAGTTATGTAATTGGAATGTTCAATACTGTCAGGCTAAAAGAACCTGATGTCTCCATCTCTATCATGGGGATGACCATGTCTGTGGGACATTAGTGCTTAAACTATGTGGGCCAGATCTTCCTCTTCACTAGACAGCATTCCAGTAGGACCTTTTCCATGACTCTTACATGACTATGCTTCCATTGCTGACAACTCCCTTAGTAACTGACCCATTCTTTAAACACATTAATATCTTAGTTAAAATCTTCAGTGTTAATATCGTATCTTCACATAGAATATCTTCAATCTTAATATTTCTAGTACCTTAATATCCTCAGAGTAAGACCAGTCTTATTCTGGTCTGAGTCATCCTCGCTCTTTTTTATTTTGAGACAGAGTCTCACTGTTGCCCAGGTTAGAGTGCTGTGACATCAGCCTAGCTCACAGCAACCTCAAACTCCTGCACTCAAGTGATCCTGCTGCCTCAGCCTCCTGAGTAGCTGGGACTACAGGCATGCACCACCATGCCCAGCTAATTTTTTCTATATATTTTTAGTTGTCCAGCTAATTTCTTTCTATTTTTAGTAGAGATGGGGTCTCGCTCTTGCTCAGAGCTGGTTTCGAACTCCTGACCTTGAATGATCCTCCCTCCTCAGCCTCCCAGAGTGCTAGGATTATAGGTGTGAGCCACAGCACCTAGCCTGTCCTCCCTCTTTAAAATAACTTTTTTATATCCTTCCTCTGATTCATGTCCATTATTTATCTTATTTTCAGGTTCTAAATAATATCTCATTTTTCCCTTAATATAATAATAATAGCTAACTTTTATTGGATGCTTACTTTGTGCCTGCCTCAATTCTAAGTGCTTTATATGTATTAATTCATTTATTGTTATAACAAGCCTTTGAGGTAAGAGTTATAATAATTTCATAGATGAAGAATGAATATTTTCCCTCTTAGAATTCTAATTCCCTCCTCCTGATCTTTTTTTCCCAAGACTGTATGTTGTCTTGTACCAGGTTCAGAATGCTGTGATTGGTTCTGAATGGCCATCTAAGACATTTATAATGTTAAATCCTTTATGTGCATTCTTTTCTTTTCTTTCTTTTTTTTTTTTTTTTAGTCAGAGTCTTACTCAGTTGTTTGGGCTAGAGTGCCATGGCGTCAGCCTAGGTCACAGCAACCTCAAACTCCTGGGCTCAAGCAATCCTACTGCCTCAGCCTCCTGAGTAGCTGGGACTACAGGCACGCACCACCATGTCCAGCTAATTTTTTTCTATATATTTTTAGTTGGCCAATTAATTTCTTTCTATTTTTTTAGTAGAGATGGGGTCTTGCTCTTGCTCAGGCTGGTTTCGAACTCCTGACCTTGAGCAATCCGCCCCCTTGGCCTCCCCAGAGTGCTATGATTACAGGCGTGAGCCTCCATTCCTGGCCAATGTACATTCTTTTCATCTAATTTCTACCTCATTTTGCAGATGAGGAAATAGCTCCAAAGAGGTTAAATAATGTGTCCAAATCACATAGCCAGTAAATGGCAGAACAAGGGATTGAACCTAAGTCTTTCTGATTCTACTGTTCTTTCTACTGTTAGGCTTTCTCCTGCCAGTAAGATGGAAGTTTGTGGGAAGAGACCTGTGTCCTTTCCACTTTACTCCATGACTGTCAGATCAAAGTGGACGCAAGTATATTCTCTTCATGGGCTAGATCAGATGGCACATAAAAGGATTTTTGTAAAATAAAGACAAAACGAACACTTGTTTCTACTGCTTTGCAGAGTTAGGGTTTTTAAAGGAGCAAAAACAGATTGTTTTCCATAGCTCTCAGGATCAAGGTCACACTTCTCAGCCTGGAACAGATTCTCTTCCACATCATGCCTGCCTATCTCTATCCTAATATCCTGCCACTCTCCAGGCTCATTGGGCAGTTGAATAATCCCTCAGTTATCTCTCACTTCTCTACCTGTGCCCATGCTGTTCCCTTTGCTTGGATGCTCTTCTGTTCACCTTTTGTGGCTGATGCTACTGTACCTCAAAGCTCGGCTCACATATCACCTCTCAAATATATTAATATTATAGATGCCCCTTGTCTGTTCTCCTTGAATAGCATAGTCAACAAAAGGGGCCCTAGGGTTTGAAATTTAGCTCTGTCACTTGCTAACACTATGTATGATCTTGGTTATGTTCCTAACCCTTTCTAAACCTTGGTTTTCCCATCTGTAAAACAGCAATACTCCCCCACAGGGTTATCATAAAGATTGAATGAAGTAATGTAATCAAACAGTTTTTCTGTAACATGGTAAAAGTCCGCTAATTAGCTGCAGCTGTTATTCTCAAGATTTCACTTAAACCTTCAGTCATTTCATTGTTTTATTTGGAGGTGAGTGGTTGGAGGGTTGAACACATGAAATCTTTTTTTTAATAGATGGAATTAAATTTTTTTTTCATTTTTAAAAACTTTATTTAAAACAATTTTTTTGAGACAGTCTCACTCTGTCACCCTGGGTTCTGTGGGTAGAATGCAGTAGGGTCATCATAATTTACTACAATCTCAAACTCCTGGGCTCAAGCGATCCTACTGCCTCAGCCTCCTGAGTAGCTGGGACTACAGGCATGCACCACTGTGCCCAGCTAATTTTTCTATTTTTAGTAGAGATGAAGTCTCACTCTTGCTCAGGCTGGTCTTGAACTCCCGACTTCAAGTGATCCTCCCACCTTGCCTTCCCAGAGTGCTAGGATTACCACCTACCACTTCGAGTGAGCCACCACACCCAGCCAACACATGAAATCTTAAAAACTTGCTAGTGATTAAGTTTCAGAAGTCTCAGTTCTGCTGGGCAGAGTGGTGCATTCCTGAATACCAGCTACTTGGGAGGTCTGAGGCAGGAGGATCCCTTGAACCCAAGAATTTCAGATCAGCCTGGGCAACAAGTGAGACCCCATCTCAAAAAAAAAAAAAAGAAAGAAATGTCAGTTCAGGATTTTGTGTAATCTTCAGGAGAGCTTTAGAAAAAATAGGATATGGAACCCTGGCTTTGATTCATGCATGGATCTGTAGGAGTGACTGGATTTCATTAATTTGGGGGACAATTTAGTTACTTGATAGAAAAATATTTTTTTTAATTTTTTTTATTTCGGCATATTATGGGGGTACAGATTTAAGGTTTCAATAAATGCCCATTCCCCCCTCAAAAAGTCTCCCCCCCAAAAAAGTCTGAGTCTCCATCATGATCATCCCCCAGATGGTGCACATCTCACTCATTATGTATGTATATACCCGCCCCCCCTCCCACCTCCCAATACCCTATTACTGTAGTACCTATGTGTCCACTTAGGTGCTACTCAGTTAATACCAGTTTGCTGGAGAATATATCTGGTGCTGTTTTCCATTCTTGGGATACTTCACTTATAGTATGGGTTCCAGCTCTAACCAGGAAAATATAAGATGTGCTATATCACTATTGTTCTTAGAGCTAAATAGTACTCCATGGTATACATATACCACATTTTTAATCCATTCTGGATTGGATGGGCACTTGGGCTGTTTCCACAGCCTTGCAATTATGAATTGTGCTGCTATAAACATTCGAGTGCAGGTGTCTTTTTGTAGAGTGTCACTGGATCATTGGGTAGATGCCCAGCAATGGATTGCTGATCAAATGGTAGATTCACTTGTATCGCTTTAAGGTATCGTCATATTGCTTTCCACAAGAGGTTGAAACTAGTTGCAGTCCCACCAGCAGTGTAGGAGTGTTCCCTCTCTCCGCAACCACGCCAGCATTTATTGTTTGGAGATTTTTTGATAAAGGCCATTCTCACTGGGGTTAAGTATATCTCATTGTGGTTTGATTTGCATTCCCTGATGATTAAGATGTTGGGCATTTTTTCATATGTTTGTTGCCATTCTTCTGCTTCTTAGAAAAGTTTCTGTTCAAGTCCTTGCCCACTTTGAATGGGTTATTGATTTTTTTTCCTGATTTTCGTGAGTTCTAAGTAATTCTAGTTATCAGTCCTTATCGGATGCATAGGATGCAAAATTTTCTCCCATTCTGTAGTTGTCTGTTTACTTTCATGACTATTTCTTTGGCTGTGCAGAAGCTTTGTAGTTTGATCATGTCCCATTTATTTTTTTGTTGCTGCTGTGATTGCCTTTGGGGACCTCTTCATAAACTCTTTGCCCAGGCCGATGTCTAGGAGAGTGTTTCCAACTTTTTCCTCTAGAGTTCTAATAGTTTCATACCTTAGGTTAAGTCTTATCCAGCGTGAGTGATTTTTGTGAGAGGTGAAAGGTGTGGGTCCTGTTTAGCCTTCTACAGGTGGCTATCCAGTTTTCCAGCACCTTATTGAAAGGGATTCTTTTCCCCAGAGTATGTTTTTGTCTGCTTTGTCAAAGATTAGATGGCTATATGAGGATGGTTTTATATCAGGATTCTCACATCTGTTCACTGGCAATATTCCTATTTTTGTGCCAATACCATATTGATTTAATTACTACAGCTTTGTAGTATAGTTGATATCTGGCATATTAATGCCTCCCATTTTGTTTGTTGCCTAGAATTGCTCTTGATTTCGGGGTCTTCTTTGGTTCCATACGAAGCGTAAAATTATTTTTCTATATCTGTGAAGAATGTGATGGGATTTTAATAGGTATAGCATTGAATCTGTAGATCAGTTTGGTAGTATAGACATTTGATGATATTGAGTCTGCCGATCCACGAGCATGGTATGGATTCCATCTGTTTACATCCTCTGCTATTCCTTCCTCAGTGTTCATAGTTCTCCCTATAGAGTCTTTTACGTCCTTGGTTAAGTATATTCCTAGGTACTTTAATTTCTTTGTTGCTATTGTGAAGGAATTGAGTCTTTGATTTGGTTCTCAATTAGATTGTGTTGGCGTATATGAATGCCTCTGATTTCTGTATTGATTTTGTATCCTGAGACTTACTAAATTCATGATCAGTTCCAGGAGTTCTTGGTTGAATCTTTGGGGTTTTCTAGATACAATATCATATCATCAGCAAACAGTGAAAGTTTGATCTCTTCTGCCCCTATTTGGATACCTTTGATTCCATTTTCCTGTCTGATTGCTGTAGCCAAGACTTCCAGCACTATGTTGAACAGAAGTGGAGATAGTGGGCAGCCTTGTCTGGTTCCAGTTCTAAGTGGGAATGATTTCAATTTTCCCCATTCAGTATGATGTTGCTATGGGTCTTCATATATGGCTTGTATCATTTTTAGGTATGTCCCTTCTATGCCTATTTTCTTAAGTGTTCATATCATGAAAGGGTGTTGAATTTTGTCAAAAGCTTTTTCTGCATCTATTGAAAGAATCATGTGGTCTTTGTTTTTGCTTCTGTTTATGTGGTGAATTGCATTTATAGATTTACGTATGTTGAACCATCCCTGCATCCCTGGGATGAGCAAAATATTTTTTATTACACAGAAATTTCTTTTGGTCATTCTGCCTCTTTTCCCCTTAGATTACAGAGTTGAAGGCTGATTTTCAGTACCAGGAATCTCAGATGAGAGCCAAAATGAACCAGATGGAGAAAACCCACAAAGAAGTTACAGAACAATTGCAGGTAACTCTAGTTTACTTAACTGATTATATTTTAAGTAATCATCTCCTAGATTTCTTTTTTCACAAAGTATTGACAAATCACATTAATCCTTCTTTTAGATATTTTGTATTGTTTTACTGTTGGATGTGTTCTGATCTTTTCTCCTCGAAAACAGTGGAATTAATAAATGTATTCTTTGGTTTTGAATATACCAGATGTGATTCCAGATGTCTCAATTACAAATTCTGTTTATCCAGCTCATTAAGGCACTACATGGTTTGTTTGTATTGCATAAAGCATCCTTTTGTAACAGTGTGTCCCAAGAGATTGAGGTACACTGATTAACCTCTAGCAAATACTTTCTTTTCCCTGAACAAAGTGTCAAGCCCTAGAGCTTTCTGTTGTTTTCCACTTCTAGAATTGTTCATCTCTTTCTGACCCTCTACATTGTCTGCCTTAGTATATGCACTTACTCTGCATAAAAAACATATCCTATCATGTTTAAAACATCCTTCTTATGCTGACTTTTTTAGGCCAAAAACCGAGAGCTCCTGAAGCAGGCAGCTGCCTTGTCCAAGAGCAAGAAGTCTGAGAAGTCAGGAGCTATCACCTCTCCGTGACAGACCATGAGGAGGCTCCCTAGCAATGGCAAATGGAGTTGTCCTGGGTTAGGGTTGGCGACCTGGTCGTTCTCTGGGAATTGCAGGCTTTCTTAAGAAATCTCTATTTTATTACAGTTATCCTTCTTTGTGTGATTGCAGTGGGCTGAATGGAAACACCTGGTTTGTGCTGTGTTATGACTGCATGCTTGAGTGTTTGGAGTTTCAAGCTCTCTTTCTCTTTCTCTCTCTTCTAGAACCTCCTCCTCCTCCTCCTCCTCTTCCTCTTCTTCTTCCTCTTCCTCTTTCTCTTTCTCTTCTCTCTTTCTCTCTCTTTTGGTAATACTCTTTTTTTTGTGGTAGTCACTGCTCAGTGTAATGTGCAGAATGATTTTTTTTTGGTCCATCATTGCATCCTGCCATACCCATGAGCAAATTGTTTGGCATTAATTATATACACTGCCACCTTCTGAACTTTGAAAACTGCCACCTTAAGTCTTGGTACAATGGAAGAGGCTTTCTCTCTCCAATAAACCTTTTGCTTCAGGGTATCTCTTGGGTTTTTTTCCAGATATATTATGTATGAACTTTGTACTATGTATAGCCAGAGTTTTATTTATTTTTTAAAAAAGAAACTTTTTCTTGATAAAGGAATAATGGTAGCCTAGCCAGTCCTTCTTGTAAAAGTTATGCCTCTTGAAAAAATATAGTCCTATTCTCTAGCTTTTAGTAAAAGAATCAGATCTTTTCTTTCTTGTTACCTTGGAGTCTTAAAAACTGATTGCTAAGGTGAAACAATTCAATGCATAAGTATGGAGTTAAGTGCCTTTTGGAAGATTTCTTGGAAGAATATTTAAGGAGATACTTAAGGGAGATAGCAAAGATTTGAATAGTCTGTCTTTTTAAGTAAGGACAGAAAGAAAGGTTGTCCAGGTTGTACTGGACACTTCCCTCCCCTACCCCTTTCCTGATTGTTTTATGTGATTGATTTTAAATTCTCACACTGCCACTTCTTTTTAAAAATATATCCTTTATTTGCTTATATCAGTTGTCATACTGAGCTAATGTCAGAGAACTTTTTTTTACATGAGAAGATTAAAAATAGGATAATATTTGAACCATAGAGCATTTCTGGTGTCAGCACAAGCTGCTCAAGTAAGGACTCTGAGTCCAACTGGGAGAAGTGATATCACCATACTTCTCCCCACTCCTCCTCACCCACCCAGCTTGTATACTTCCCGCTTTGAATGGAAAGGTGGAAACAGGTACTTCTTAGAAGCACGTGGCCTTAGCCAGAGTCGTGTGTACCCTGTTTTTCCTTCTTGACCCAAAAGGCACATGGATTTACTTTTCCAGGAAAGGGGATAGATTTGAATTTACCCATACTCTCAGGTCCTCTATGTGGTGTTTGTGAAAGGAGTTAGGGATGTATTGTTGTGTCATGAAACAGAGCAAAATTAACTATCCTGGAATTATTAATGCAGAGTATACTAGAGTTAATCATGAGGGCAGATCACATTTGTACCTCAGTCTACCAAAATAGTAGCAGTAAATTTAACTTTCTAGGCATCTCCTAGAAACAGATGCTCTATAATTTGTGATAGCATTCTCATAAGTGGAGCCATGCATGTAATTGTACTGAAATGTGGAAATGGATAGCTTCCTTCTGATAAGAGATACAATGGACCATATTGCTTATATATCACCCTAGTAGGGAATGTAATTCCCTTCTAAGCAAGGGAAATGGCAGTGCTAAATAGTTTTATAACTTTTTGAATGAGAAACTTTTAGGTACAGATAAACTGTCAGATAGTATTTTTCAGATTCATTTGCATTGACTATGGGGAAAAGATTGTGAAAAATGATAGTCATGGTTTTTTTTTTTAATTTTAAAGACTGAAATTCTGTTATGTGAAGTTTGACAATATAAAAACACATATTTAGTTTTATACTAAATCCTTTTTTAAGGTCTTGGCATTTAATATAAAGGAAATCCACACATTTTCTAACTTTCCGTAAGTTCCAAAAAGGGAAGGAAGAAACCTCAGACTTGAAATTTTGATTTTTAAAAATCATGACACTGTTTTACCATGAAATTGAGTAGCTAATTTTTGGTAACACTTTTTGTTTCTTTGTATGTTTGTAATAATGGACATTTTAAAACACAGGAATGTTTTAGTTTGTACAGACTTTCACAAATGTGTGTTAATAAAAATTCATATTGACTCAAGTATAATTGTTAGGTTTTATTTTTATTTATTTATTGCTGGTTCACCAATAGACATATCTCATTATCCCCTTTAACCTAGAAAACGCTTTGTCTTGCTTGTAGACTTAAAAAATTAAAAGCCTAACTGTGGTAATCAGGAATTTCATGTCCATCAGAATAAACTCAGTCTCTTGAAAAGTGAGACTGCTGTGTTGTGCTATGAAGTCAGACTGCGTGGATTTTAATCCTGTCTGTGCTTACCTCAGAGTTGTTGTGAGGATTAAATAATACATTTAGAAGCCTTTAGAACAGTCCTTGGCATGTAGTATGCCCTCAACTTTGTAAGCTGTTATCATCTATGACTGCTACAGAATCAACAGTTTCTGTTTCCTCAAAGGGAAGATGATAGAAGGACAAATTAGAATGCACATGAACGTTCACTTGTTGTTTTTCTTTCCAAAGTCACTTTCTCCCAAGGTCAGTTCTAGGCCACCAGAACATTGATGCAGCCCACAACTTTTATACCTCTTCTTCAACTCTACATGATCCACCTCACCTTAGGCATGCCACTTTATTGCACTGATTTCTAAAATGCCTTTTTTTTTAGGGATAGGGTCCTGCTATGTTGCCCAGGCTGATCTTGAACTCATGGCCTCAAGTGATCCTTCTGTCTCCCCTCTCAGAGTGCTAGGATTATACGTGTGAGCCACTGCTCCCAGCCCCAGTTTTTGATTATTACCAACACAGCTGCCTGAAACATTTGATAGACACGTTTTCATTTTTCTTGGGTAAATACCTCAGAGTGGGCTTGCTGGATTGGTGGGTTGTATAGTAAGTTTATAGTTAACATTGTAAGAGACTGTCAAACTGTTTTCCAAAGTGACTATACCATTTTTCATTCCCACCAGCAATATATCATGAGTGCTAATATTAATACAGTCTTACTTGCAACCTAAGTGAATTTCTCCATTGACCCTTCCCTACCATTCCCTAGGTAGCTCACCATACTGGTGATAATGATATTTTTCTTTTTTTTTTTCCATGAAGACAGATTCCTGATAATGATATTTTTAAAATATGAAATTTATTTACTATAGTATAGCATATGTACAGAAGAGGGCACATCACAAGTATATGACTTGATGAATTTTCATAAAGTAAACACACCTACATAACTACCATCCAGATCAAATAATACAATCCTAGCAGCTCACCTCATGCATCCATTCCTATTCCCTCTCTTCCTCAAAACTATTAATACATACTATTCTGACTTTTAAAAACATGATTAATTTTGCCAGCTTCAAACATTAAAACTGGAATAGTACAGATTGTACTCATTTTGTGTCTGGTCTCTTTGGCTCCACATGTTTGAAAGAGGTTACCTGTGTTCACATAGCTATAGACCACAATTTATTCCTGTGCTCTGTAAGACCACAGTTTATCCATCCTACTGTTGATAGACATTCAGGTTTCCAGTTTGAAACTAGTAAAAATAAATGCTGCTATGGACTTCATAACAGCCCCAAACTAGAAACAATCCAAACATCCATCAATAAAAGAAAGGACAAATTGTAAGTATAGTCATATCAGGAAATACTATTTAGCAATAAAGAAGACCAAACAATTGATACATGCAACATCATGGATAAATCTCAGAAATACTATGTTGATTGAAACAAGCCAAACACTAAAGAATACATAAAGTATGAAGTCCAAGCATAGGTAAAACTTAATCTACGGTGGTAAAAATCAGAAAGTGATTTCTGGTGATGAGGGAAATTGGAAAGGAGAATATATGGCTGACGCAGTGGCTCATGCCTATAACCCCAGCACTTTGGAAGACTGAGGCAGGAGGATCAATTGAATCTAGGAGTTTGACGCCAGCCTGAGCAATATAGTGAGACCTCGCCTCTACAAAAAACAAATTAGGCAGGTGTGATGCCGTGTGCCTGTAGTCCCAGCTACTCAGGATGCTGAGGCAAGAGGATTGCTTAAGCCTGGGAGTGTTTTGAGGTTGCAGGGAGCTGTGATACAATCACTGCACTCCAGTCTGTGTAACAGAGTGAGACCCTGTCTCTAAAAAAAAAACGGCCAAGCGCAGTGGCTCACACCTGTAATCCTAGCACTCTGGGAGGCTGAGGCTGGTGGATCACTCAAGCTCAGGTGTTTGAACCCAGCCTGAGCAAGAGCGAGACCCCGTCTCTACTATAAATAGAAAGAAATTAATTGACCAACTAAAAATATATATACAAAAAATTAGCCGGGAATGGTGGCACATGCCTGTAGTCCCACTTACTCAGGAGGCTGAGGCAGGAGGATCGTTAAGCCCAGGAGTATGAGGTTGCTGTGAGCTAGGTTGACACCAAGGTACTCTAGTCCGGGCAACAGAGTGAGACTCTAACTCAAAAAAAAAAAAAAAAAAAAAATTAACAACAACAAGAGCATAAATCAAGGAAATTTTCTGGGGTGACAATGAAAATGTTCAAATCTTGGATTGGGTGGTAGTTACATCGGTGTATACAAGTGTCACAAAATTCAGTGAACTGAACACAATATCTATGCATTCTATTGTATTCACTAGATTTTGTGTATCAATTATAACTCAACAAAAATTAAGTACAGAAAAATGCTGCATGGTCCTAAAAATGCTGCTATAAACTATATATGTTTTGCAACATATATGTTTGCATATTGTTGAGTATATAGTTAGGAGTAGAATTGCTGGGTCATAAGGTATACACGAAGCCTGGCTCTTGCACTTAACAATTGTATGACATTGGGCAAGTACCCAGAATCTCCAGAGTTTGCTTATTTGTACCAGGGAGCTAATCTCACCTTGCTGAGTGCAAACCCACAAGAACAATTTTTGTTAATCAACAAAAGGACACAGTGCTGAGAAACCTGTTCTCTCACAGATTTTCAGAAAATTTGCTGTTTGAATTGTTATTCCATTAAGAATGGAAAATACCACCCTTACCTGGATGATCTGAGTTACTTTCATACAGAGGAACAGCCTCAATTTCTAACCCAGGTGCAAAGCTTTAGATACAACATTCCACATACAACATACAACATTCCACATTTATCTTTGCCTTGTAGTTTCCAAGGAAACAGGATCCTGAGTCCTCTTGCTAGCTTAGGCCTGATGATAATCCCTTTACACAGAGATGCTTTGAGGCTATCTAAACACTGCTTCTTTTAAATTTTACACTTCATCATTCCTCCAAATCTTGGAATAACTCTCTCTCTTCCCGTATGTGGTGGCATGCCCCATGATTCCTCCGGTGTCCAGTTCCCTTGTAGCAGCAAGTTATTATAATAAACTGAACTTTTTCAGACCACAGGTGGTCTTTATAAGATGGTCTTTATCTTGGAGATTACTGATAATGTATGCAGAATATGTTCACATTACTTGGCACCTAATAGGCATTTAAAAATGATAAAATTATTTTTATCATTCATGTATTAATTCAATAAATGTTTACTTGAAATCTTGTATTTGCAAGGTACAGATTTACTCCTGCACAGGTGGAAAACCATTTTTATTTTACATGGAGACAGAAAACAGCAACTATATCTTCAATTCCTAGTAGAAAAATACCTTCACTGAGCTTCACTTTAAATAGTGTCAAATGCAAATGAAAAAATTCTCAAGACTATTTCATAAAAAGTGCAATTTACATGATTTGCTATGAGATTTGGCATAAAACTATGAATTCTAAGAAATGGTAGGGTTTTAATAACCAAAATGAGAGCCCCTCAAATGTCATCTGTCCCTTTTTTAGAGAGTAAAAAATGCTCTCATAAATGTTCCATTGAAAAATAGAGATGGCCTTGCTTTACAAAGCTCTAAGGTTTGAATACAGGCTCATTCACACATTTGAGGTCTCCTCCCACACAGGCAAGTAGCTTCTTCTCTTTGTATTTCCCAAACACTGCAAAGCAGGCTGGGGTAGGGTGGGGTGGAGAATACAGAAAACACTGCCAGTTCCCCTTCTTGATCTCCTTCCAAACCAAAATTCTATCCATGTCTTTCCTTTTACCATAGTCTTAAAAAATGCAGTCTTCTATGGGAACATTGAGTTCATACATTCCAAATTACTTAAGTGAATGATTTTTAAATTTTAGGAGTCTATTTCTCCAAGAAATATCAGTTTAGGATATAGATGAATGAGCCATTTGGGAGAAATTTAGATGGAGAATGAATTTTAGGGAAGTAGGCAGATGACTATGGAATCAGTCTTTGGGTTTTGTAGTCAAAATTCCGTTAAATGAATTAACCTCTTTGGTCTTAATTTTCCCACCTGTAAAAGGGAAAATGATAATGCTTACTTTGCCGAATTACTTTACTTTTTTTTTTTTTTTTTTGAGACAGCGTCTCACTCTGTTACCCGGGCTAGAGTGCCGTGGCATCAGCCTAGCTCACAGAAACCTCAATCTCCTGGACTCAGGCGTAGCTGGGACTATAGGCATGCGCCACCATGCCCGGCTAATTTTTCCTATATATATTTTTAGTTGGCCAATTAATTTCTTTCTATTTTTAGTAGAGACGGGGTCTCACTCTTGCTCAGGCTGGTTTCGAACTCCTGAGCTCAAATGATCCGCTCGGCCTCGGCCTCCCAGAATGCTAGGATTACAGGTGTGAGCCACTGCGCCGGCCAAGATACTTTACTTCAACACTTAAAAAATAGATTGTCTGTTATCTGTTCTAAAGATAAAAATATAGGCCGGCCCGGTGGCTCACGCCTGTACCCTAGCACTCTGGGAGGCAGAGGCGGGGCACATCGTTTGAGCTCAGAAGTTGGAAACCAGCCTGAGCAAGAGCGAGACCCCGTCTCTACTATAAATAGAAAGAAATTAATTGGCCAACTAAAAATATATATAGAAAAAATTAGCCAGGCATGGTGGCACATGCCTGTAGTATCAGCTACTCTGGAGGCTGAGGCAGGAGGATCGCTTGAGTCCAGGAGTATGAGGTTGCTGTGAGCTAGGGTGATGGATGCCACGGGCTCTAGCCAG